TAACAATTGACCATCAATTTTTTATTCCTGCCATAATTAGTTTTTGAAATTATGCTGACGACAAAAAATTTTTAATATTGTAAATAGAAATCAAACCCCATTATTGAAAAATGTTCATTATACCTTTTTATATATTCATCAACTAACAAAATTATTTTCAAGACCTTCTTTACCTAACATGTATGCCTTTATATCCAATCATTTAATGTTATCAAATTTTTGATTTCAATTTAAACATGCATTATTTAAATCTCTTTATAATATTCAGTATTTTTTCTGCAAAAGTTTATTATTGCATTCTCATCTGCATTTGTAAATATCTGATCATTAATCTACATCATGCTTGTCCAACCAGCATCCGAATCCGGCCCGCCAAAGGTTTTCATCCGGCCCGCCGGCCTCCTTAGAAAAATATTCAAAATATAAAATTTAAAGTATTTTTATTGAGTTGGTTAGATGTAAATTTTAAACTTTTTAAAAATAATTTTTAATTTAAACTCTTGTATTAATAAAAACACTAATTAATAATAATGCGCTACGATCGCGATTTAAAACAGTTTCCTTGACGACGCAAAGGACAACGTAAATAAAACGTAACTAGCAGACGATATTATGGCGTCCGTCGATAAAAAATTGCTTCTGAAAATCGTATTTTTAAAAGTTCGTGGACAGAAAGTTATTTTGTTATACAGCAAGCCGATGTTATTTTGTGCCTCATTTGTCAAGAAACAATTGCCGTTCACAAGGAATATAACATCAAGCGACATTACTGCTCTAAACATAGCAATAAATTCGATAGTGTGGTGGGCCAAACACGAACTGATCGCATCAACTCGATGAAACAGGAAATTGTTGCTCAACAGTCATTGTTTAAAATTGGCAACCAGAGTGCCGGAGCAGCAACAAAAGTTAGCTATTTAATTGCAGAAGCTATAGCCAAGAGAGGAAAACCATTTTCTGATGGAGAACTGGTGAAACACTGCCTAGAGATATTTACAGATGTTGTTTGCCCAACAAAAAAGTCTTTGGTGGAAAACGTGAGTCTTTCTCATCAAACTATTGGTAGAAGAGTTGACGATATGGCAGGGGCGGATCCAGGTCATCTAGTAAGGGGGGGCGATTTTTATCCATCATGGCAACCCACAACTGCCTGCAAGGCGGGCAAGCCCACAAATAAAAAAACGTTTAAATTATTTTTCAATTTGCCCTTTAAATAACAATCTATGTGACTAAGACATTACGGCATATACGTCGCGATCGTATCAGCATCGGCAAAGACGGTGCAAGTGTGCACGCACGCGGTAGCACGCACCCCCGTATCATGCCAGTAAACTTAAATCTACTCTGTTCTATTAAAAAGAGTGATGTAGTAATCATATTATTTACTACGGATCCCATTATTGTAGTGTTAAGTAATCCTTTAAAATATGCACTTTTTAACTTTTTAATTTTATATCACTATTCATTTTTAAACAGTCTAACTTTCGTTTTCAAGCGCCATGATTGTGTATTGTGTTGTGTTACTTAAAAACGACAAAAATAGTAAATACAAGTTACTTTTAAATTAAAAAATTCATTAATTATTGTTTATAATACTATAAAATATTAGGAACAATTACAACAAACCATTATCATCGGAAGAAAATGAAGAGAACAAATTTTTTACAACCACAGAGTACTTTGGATTCATTTTTTGTGACGTTGAAAAAAAAAAGTCTGTTGAAGCATCTACAACTAATTCTACTGTCACTACTGAAGTTGGTGGAACAACTGAACTTCCACTTCCAACCACATCAGCAGAAGCTTCAACAAGTAATAGTATTTCTACTGAACATGTTGAACATGAGATAACAGAAACAAGTAATAATATGGACAGCAACAGCCGGAATATGAATGTCAATTCAGTAGTCATAGCTCATGATAGTCTTTTTTCTGAAAATGAACAGATTTCAACTGAGACTGGAACAGCTGAAATTGCTAAGGCATTTTCTAGTAAGATTTTAAATGCTGGGTTTATTGGAAAATTTGTTGGAACATTTATGGATGATTTGACAAAAAAAAAGTCTGTTAGAATCGCCATAGAAGCCACCAGCTGACTACAAAATGCCACATTCACTTCACAAGAAGAAAAATAAACAAGAAAAGCGATATCTTAATCATTCTCATCTGGACAAATATGAATGGCTAGTTTATTCAGATAATAAAAAAGGACTGTACTGCAAATATTGCTCATTATTTTCATACCACCTAACTGCAGGATCTCACAAACAAATGAAACTTCAGAAGCTTGTTAAACAACCATTACAAGTGTTTGCTAAACTGTTTGGCAAAGATGGAGATTAACAATGCATGACAAAGCAACATACCACAAGAAAGCTGTTGAAGCAGGGAGGTGTTTTTTAAAAAACTATAATGAACCAGCAATAAATATTGTAAACAGAGTAAATGCTCAACGGCTTCAGCAGGTTTTAGAGAATCGTCAGAGATTGATACCTATTGTGGAAACAGTTATATTTTTAGGAAAGGCAGAATATTCCATTCAGAGGACACAGAGATGATGGCAGTATATTAGACAAAGATGATGAAGATTCTGATGTGATTAAAAATGAAGGTAATTTCCGAGAATTGCTAAAATTTAGAGTAAGCAGTGGAGATTCAAATTTAGAAAATCATTTAATAACGGCAAGAGCATCAGCAACCTATATTAGCAAAACCACACAAAATGCGTTAATTAAATGTTGTAGGGAGGAAATATGTGAACAAATTTTGAGTCGCGTCAGAGAATCAAAGTATTATGCTATTATGATTGACGAAACAACCGATGCATCACATAAGTCGCAAATGACTATAATATTACGTTACTTGCTGCCTGATGGACCAGTTCGAGAAGATTTTGCAGAATTTGTTGATCTACATGACAAAAATTATCAATCTGATATTACTGCATCAATTGACACTGAACCTATTCTTGACGGCAAAAAAACATGTTTGCAAACAAGTTCCAATTAAAAAACTGAAACTTATTAAAAAACGAAATAGAAAAGATTTAAAGACTGAAATACAAACTCAAAAATGTTAATTGAAGTAAGGATGGATTTTCATATTTTTAACATTACGAGGTGGACTGCGCAAATAAATTAGGGGGCCAATATATTTATTGAATGCATATGGTGAAATCTTAAATCATTTATGATCTTTGGTAAATAAAATTTAACAACAAGATTCCATTTTTACATTTTTGGCAGTAGATTTGTAACATATAATTTGATTTAGAATAAAATTTGTATATGCAGAAAGCTTCAGAGAGTTATGTACGGGAATATTTTCAATATGATCCAGTTACAGATAGGAGTACCTGTTTATGTGAAATCTCGAGCACATCAAGTTCACAAAGCACTTCAGCTTCAAGAGTTTGTGGTAAGACTGAAAGGAAAAAATGCAACAAATTTGAAAACTCATTTAGAATATTTTCAACAAAAGTAGCAATCTAAAATCAATCAATCTCCAGGGCAGCCTTCATTTATTATTATTATCATTTTATTATTATTATTTTACTTTATTTCATTTTACAATATACAACGTTAATTCTTTTTAATATATAACAACACACGTTTAGACGACATTTTCCCCGAGATCGGGGTTGCCGTTTGGCTACCTATGATGAAACCGAAATACCCCTCGACGCCATCCACATCTGTCACTTGCCTCAGTATCACGCAACCCCGCTTTCACCCTGTCCTACTCCACCTGCTCTCTCCATCCCAATCGCGGACGACCCCTTCCTACCACTCCTTCAACCTCGAACTCCAACGCTCGCCTAATCCCGACCCTTTCATCCCATCTCAACACATGTCCATACCCCGCAATCTCGATCTCCTTATCAATGTCACAATGTCCTCATTCAGTCCCATCATCGACATCAGCTCTGTACTACTCCTCCTATCCTTCACTTTAACCCCACACATCATCCTCACCATAGCTCTTTCAGCCCTCTGCAGTACACTTTCCTCCTCTCTCCTCAACACCCAAGTTTCACCACCATATACCATTGCTGCTTCACACATGCTTTATATACCCTACCTTTCATCTTCACTGACCATTTCTTTCCACACAATACCCCACCCAGTTCCCTAAATTTCATCCATCCCACACGAACTCTAGCCGTAACTGCGCTCAAACATCCTCCATCCGCGTTCAGCTTATCCCCTAAGTAAACAAAGCTTTCCACTCTTTCAATACCACCACTCAACCCCGTCCTTGCGTCCGTCCTATTAATCACACCATGAACACATTTCTTACATTTGAACGTGCCTTCCACCTTTTTCAGTGCCCCCCTCACACCACTACATCTCTTATGCACCCATTTCTGACCTCCTATACACAATACCGAGTTAGCCTTCACTCTCCTGTCACATACCCCACAAGGGTCTATTTTACTTATCACTCGCTCCCCACTTTCCCCATTCACCATTACCTTCGTCTTACCAATATTAACTTTTAACCCTTTCTTTTCCATCTGTCAAATTTTAACTGCAATTCTTCCATGCTATCAGCCATCAAGACTAAATCATCTGCATACAAAATCTCAAATAACAACCCCTCCATTATGTTTCCACACACAACATCCATCATAATTGCAAACAGAAACGGTGATAACGGTGATATTGTTGAATTCTTTTTAATATATGTTTTTAACTTTTTTTTATGATGAAACTAAAGGGATGTTCCCACTATTATTGTTGTTATCATTATTATTTCTTTTTTTGTTATTATTATTGACGTTATTTTTATTGTATCTGATTTAGTTGTTGTTATTATTACAACAATTCATTAACACTGCTATTGTTTATTTAGCTCACTCGTCAATCAGTTTACAGCCCGTCATCATCATCATCGTCATCAGCATCATCAAAACCATCATCATCACCCACATCATCGCCGTCGCCATCATCATAACCATCATCGTCATCGTTATTAACACCATCGTCATCGTCCCAACCTCAATTCCTTGAAACTCTGGCATATGCAGTGGACAGGAGTGCAGCAGGCGTTTGAGCATGAGGGCATACTTGTTCAGTCATTAGATGGGCTTTAGCAGGTAACTCTCGAGGTCCATCGCACAGTTCAGCTCCTTTTGTTTCAACTGGCCAGGACGATGGTGATGTTTATGATGGTGGTGATGTTGTTGACGATGATGGTGCAAATCATAATGATGATGATAATAACGATGATGTAATGATAATGATGACAAAGATAGTAATGATACGTCACCTGGAAGAACTTCCTTCCACACTCTGACATCAGAGCGTCAGATTTTGGCTTGTACTTACTGTACAGTGAATATAAATAAAACTCAGACTCCTACAAAAATTCAATTTAGGTAATTTCAAAGTTAAAGTCAAATCAAAATTAAAATCAAATCAAAATTAAAATCAAATCAAAATTATAATTATTCTCAATGTTCCTATAATCTTTTCTAATCATGTTCATTTATGATTAACTAAAAGTCGTCCCTCCCTACCAAACCAACGCCCGTAAATACCTATCTACAAACCAACATGCGTACATGCATCAACATAATCTATCATCTGTGTGCAGCCACTGATTTCTTCACGACATCTCTCTAACGGTCTCTATCCTGGGCCAGTTCTTCAAGCGTTAATCGGGGTCTTCCCTTTGTAACTCTACATTTGGACAATCCTGCCCGTTGCAGATCTTTGTCCAAGCAGTGGTGGTGGTCTTCCTCTTCGTCTCGCCTCTGGTGGTTTATATGCCATGTCTGTCCTGGTGGATCTATTTGAATTCAGCCGCAACAAGTGTCTTGTCCATTTCATTCTGCGCATTCGGAACACCTCGGTTATGTATGGTTGACCCGTTCTACCTCTAATCTCCTCATTTAGAGTACGTCCTGATTACTGCTTTTCATGATTGTTTGCAGCCATCGGTTTTCAGCTGCATTCAGTTTGTTCTCCATAGTATGTGTTAAACTCCACACTTCCACACCGCATAACAAAATCGGCGACACGCGTGCGTTGAAGAAAATCATCTTCAGCTTCAGACTGATACCGTGTCGTTTCTTCCTTTTTTAACTTTCCTAATCTGGTGATTTGTTGAGATCATTTTGCAGCCAATAGCCAATATGCTGCTGTCGGTGTCAATGGATTCCGATCATTTTTTACCTTGTCATTCCAATCAATCCGATTGCATGTGTTTGTTTCGCAGGTCTTCTTCAATATGTTTTATCCATGTCTTATTTGGTGCAGAACCATGGTTTTAAAAATCTTTTCATGCAGTCTTTTGAAACCAACCCAACAAACCAGCATATAAATATACCAAAATACAAACCAACTCAACAAACCAACATATACAAAAACACACACATACTCACATGCTTCATGAAAGCAGCTCCCAAAGCATAAGGATGTCCCCGGCACAAATTCAAACTTTCATAAAACCTCTTAGAATGGAATTCATATATCTTTTCAATGTTACCAAAGATTATGTATTTGTTCCCACGAAGTGTTTTCTCCCACGAAGTGTTTCCGGTAGCAAAACGAGGGCTGATTGTGCTTGTTGCCTTTGTTGAAGTAGTGGGATGTAGTTGGTGATGATGTGATGGAGAGAGTTAATGTAATCCAGCTCATCCTCATCAACTCGTTTGTCAAGCAGGCCAGTGATCTGTGTGTATTTATATTTATGTGTGTGTGTGTATGTATGTATGTGTGTGTGTGTATGTATGTGTGTGTGCGTATGTATGTGCGATAAATAATTGAAATAAACTAATGGACGTATGTTTCTGTGCAACGAATAAGATAATTATATAAAATTCATATTTGTGTACAATGAGATTTTATAAAAAAAAAAACTTTTTATTGCTTTAATGGGTCTTGAGATAGGGCATCATCGATTTTCAAAATTTCCACCTCATCAGATGTTGGGTGTGGTAAAAAAGTTGCCGCTGCTACTGACATTGATGGCGATGATTAATATGACGATTTTGACAACGATGATGATGGTGATGTTTTTGATGGTGTAGTAACCTTTGACGAAACTTACGTTTGAAAGGTTTCCTGTTGTCGTCATTGTTATTGTTGCAGTTTTGAATTTTGGGGCCAATATTTCCCACAAGCTGGTCGTTAAAAAATGAAATTTAAAAAATAATAATTAAGTACAAAATTATGTTTAATACAAATTTTGAGTATGGATATTTGCATCTGATTATTTTATTTTGATCTTTGGAATGAATTGGGCAGACGATAAGCAGTAAGTTAGTTTTTGAATATCATTGCTATCTGTTATTTTTATTAAAAATGCCATTAAAGTGTATATTATAAATAATTGTAATGGGGCATATAAAGACCAAAATATATCAATGCAACAGGTAATATTTTATAATATTTTTATATCATTTGCATATTTAATGATTCCATTGACCTGTCTCCATGGATTGATAGATATAAATTTCAATAATTCATTTTTTGACAAAATGCAATATGCATTACAGCATTCCTCAAAAATCACCTTTAAAAAGTCAGTGGATTAATGCATTGAATGGCAGGTGTAGAGGTTTTGAAAGAAAGAGATCATACATATGTAGTAATCATTTTGATTCACAATCCTTTTGCAAGTTAAATAAAAAAGTCACTCTAAGGAAAGATGCCTACCCAACGGTATTTCCTAGTGTGGCATTTGAAAAGGCAAAAACCAAGACAACACAAACTGAGGTAATTAATTTAATATTTATATATAATAAACTAAGGATTGCTGAAGCAATATTGATTAATTCAAACCAAATATTAATATACAACACAATAACATTAGCATATGGCTTACTATCAGATATTTAACAAATAAAAATCGTTTACAGACTTGATCCGACAAGGATCAACTCAATCTGATAAGGATTTGGTTGTTTTCGAATTACGTTTGATAAAATGCAAATTTTGATTCTAATGGAAAATATGTTTTTTTTTATATTATGGGTTTATTATTATTATTAGCATGCCTTTGTTAAAATGGCTTTTTGTCATAAGAAATACAGAATACAATAACTAATATAATATATGGTAGAAAACTATAACCTATAAATATAAATATATATATATATATTTCAAAAATTCAACACTACTTTCACCATTGTTCAACTTTTTCATATTCTT